TCCGTTCCCCCCCCGGGCTGGTCTCCCCCCCCCCAAACTCCTTCCTCTCTGAGGGAGATCTGCTCCTCCGCCCAGAGAGGGGGCTACCCCCCTATTCTCTCATAGGAAGGGGAAATGAAGTCGGCTCAGCTTCTCCACTCTGGACAGGAGAGGGTTAATTTCTCCTCCTCCATAGTTTTCCTCCTCGCCACCTCCCCCAAAATAATAGAAAAGCATCTCCCCACTTTTCACTGTCCCTTCCCCCTATCTCGGCAACAGAGCTTAGGGGAAGAAGTCACTCTTCCATTTGCAGGGTGGGGTGGGGTGGTTAGTCTGTAGGCTGGAGGAGGGGCTCAGACGGCAGGGGAAACAGTTGAAGAAGGTGCTTGTTGCTCATGTTTCTCTCTCTGGTGCCTCTGGTCTATTATTGGTGTTCGCAAGTGGTGCTCCTTCCACATAAGGCCACCGCGCGGGTGCAGGGCGCATGCTCTGCCCGGCCCCATTGAAACTTCCTGCTGCTGGTTCTTTTGCTCGAGCATCTCAGCGCGGTGCCTGTCGCTTGTAGCTCTCACACACTGAGCGCTAACACTCTTCCCCGGTTAACCCTGATCCACGCCGCTCCTTTTCTGGCATTTTATTTTCCTTAGAGAAGCTTATTTGTGTACTCCGAACATTGCCTTTGTCTGGGCACAGCCCTTGACAGAAGAAACGTTTTCCAAAGAGATCTTCCCCCCCCCCTTCGTTTTCTTTTGATCTGCGCGTAGATGCGTGTAGATGACCAGGATGGATATTGTACAGGATAGCTATGACCTTTCTAAGAAAGCAGAGTTGATTTTCGGTTCTCTGTGGAAATGAAGTTCCCGATATGATGTATTTACATAGTGAGGGAAAGACCCAAGTGTGAAGTTCTTCAAAGTAACCTGTAGTGAAAATGTGTGATCTACGGTGTTTTCAAACCCTAAGGCGGTTATTAGTACAGCGTTCTTATGCTCTTTCACCTTTCTCTTTTGAGACACCATCTCACTATTGCTTTGTGTTGTCTGCGGGCCTGGAACTCTTAAAAATCCTCCTGTTTCTGTCTCCCATGTGCTAGGATTAAGGCATTAGCCACCATGCCCAATTCTCTATCTCTTTTTACCGGTTTGAATTTTTTAGACTTTGGCTTATAAAAGGCTAATTTTTTTTAAGCTATGAAATTGGAGGGTGGATAAATCACTTTATATTACTTTATATTAAGACTTTCTGCCGGATTTCCTTAAACATTAACCTTCTAGTGTATTCATTTTGTTATTAAATTATGTTTGCATTCTTTTTTAAATTTTCTTTCTTTTTTTTTTTTTTGGTTTTTCGAGATAGGGTTTTTTTGTGTGGTTTTGTAGACCAGGCGGGCCACGAACTCACAGAGATCCGCCTGCCTCTGCCTCCCCAGTGCTGGGATTAAACCATGCGCCACTACCACGATATATATATATTCTTATTGAAGGAAATAGTCACTGTGAGGTATGATGCCTCTAGTTAATTTTAGGATACCTTAGAAATAATTGTAATTTATTTGTCAGAGAGAAAAATGTGAGAATTTTAGGGGAAATTGGTGGTAAATTGTTTTTAGAATTTATTTGGACTGAGTTAAGAGGCAGGCATAGGTTTTTTTTGGGTGCCATTGCAGTTTGAATAGCAGAAAAGCTTTCATTCCTTTAAAGTTTGGCCATTGTGCTTACTTTGTATTAGTACTGGAAGAAAAATATTAGGGATGGTTTGATATATCTAACATTGAGCTCTGGGTCATCAGCTAAGCAAAAATAGGGAAGAAGTTGGAATAAGAGGAATCATTTAACTCAGCCACAGCATTACCATTGATATAGTTGCTAAGAGGATTGATAATAATAGATTCTGTCATGGGAATCTAAGAATAATTGTTAATTAATCTCACAGTTCAAGAAACCTGGCAAATGAAAAGTCTCTGAAGGTGGAAGTTTTTACTGTGCAGGAAAAAGATTTTCAGAACCTTGATGATGTCTCAGACAACTTATAATAGTTTAGTTAATAGGATTGACTATCTTTTGGGAAAAGTTTTGTAGTGTTGAGCAATGTAATATATTGGTTGTAGAGCAATTGTCTCTCTAATATGGACCTTAGCTTCTGTAGTAGACAAAGGTAATGACTAAGAACCAAATGAAATCTTTCAAAAAACCCTTTTGTAAACCAGGTACTTAAAAATATTTCTGTACGCCTTTAATCCCAGCACTTGGGAGGCAGAGGCAGACAGATGTCTTTGAGTTCCAGACCAGCCTGGTCTACAAGAGCTAGTTCTGGTACAGACTCCACCACCACAGAGAAACCCTGCCTCGAAAAACCCAAAAAGAAAAAAAAAAAATTCCTGTACTACAAATTACGTTAAAGATTTTTTTTTTCCAGTAAAGGATACATGGTACATTTGTAATTAGTCTTAAATTTTTGTTAAGTTGGGAGTAATTGGGGTGTCTGTTGTAATCAAGTGACTTTTGCTTTGTATAAGTTTTATTTAAAAAGCAGTTCTGGTGCCATTATAAAGTTCTAATTGGGCTGGCAGGATATATCAGGGGTTAGTGTGCTTGCTGCCAACTGTAATGATCTGAGTTTGGTTCCCTGAACCTTTATAGTGGAAGGAGAGGACCACCTGCAAGTTGTCCTAACGTCTACATGTGGTTTTTTAGCATGTGTGTACAGAGTGCACATACATGCACACAATAAATAAAAAAAATTAATTTATGTAAGTTTTGTTTTTTCCTATTGTGAATGGCCCTTAGACTATGTTTTAATTTGTCTTTTTCAGTTCTCTACCCTAACAACTGGAAAATGGAAGGGGACAAGTTTAATATTTGAATATAACATTTATTGAGGTAGACTTAGCAACAAGAAAGATATCGTTCTTTAGTAGAAAATAGTTTATTGATTTGTCCTGTTTAAATACATTGTGATCTGGCCAGGCGTTGGTGGTGCATGCCTTTAATCCCAGCATTCTGGAGGCAGAGGCAGGTGGATCTCTGTGAGTTCGAGGACAGCCTGGTCTCCAGAGCGAGTGCCAGGATAGGCTTCAAAGCTACACAGAGAAACCCTGTCTTGAAAAACAAAACAAAACAAAACAAAAAATTCTTTGTGATCTTTCCCCTAAAAAGTTGTTTGCAAGCTTTAATTTGATATTGTTTAGGATGCCCTGTCCCTTAGTCAAGAAGGCTCTCATGGAACAGGAAATAGATCCAATATCCATTCTAATTTTAAAACTTGGTAAGTTGTTCTGTGCCCCATAGTAATATTCCATAGGTAGTTCTGGTTGTAAAAAGATAAAACCATAAAAGTCTCAATTTAGTTGGATTAATTTTTGTTTTTAAAAAAGGAATGCCTGTTTTTACATGTATTCATGTGGTTCTGGTGCACTTGGAGGTCAGAAGAGGACATCAGGTCCCTGGAAGTAGAGTTACAGATGGTTGGGAGCCACCATGTGGGTGCTGGAAATCAAATCTGGGTCCTCTTCAAGAGCAAGGAAGGATTGGTGCACTCCTTCAATCCTAACACTCAGGAAGCACAGGCAGATGGATTTCTGTAGACCACAGCCTGGTCTACAATGCAAGTATTCCAAGACAGCCAGGTCTGTTACACAGAGAAACCCTGTTTCAAAAAACAAAAACAACAAATTAAAAAAAAAAAAAGATTGCTAGCTGCCGTGTGTGTGTGGGTGTGTGTGTGGGTGGGGGGGTGGGTGGGTGTGTGTGTGTGTGTGTGTGTGTGTGTGTGTGTGTGTGTACAGTGTGGCACATGAATATCATGATATAGAAATCAGAGGATAGCTTTCAAGAACTAGTTCTTGCCTTTTGAATTGCATTCTCTCTTGTTTGTGTTACTGCAGCCTGTTGTAGACTAGAGCTTTGGGACAATTTCTGTCTCCACCTTCCATGTTGTCATAGGAGGGCTGAAATTAGAGATGTGAGATTTCATACCTGACTTCTGTGGATTCACGTGCTAGAGC